AACTGCTCAATTTCTCAGCTACTGTCTCTCCCTATCAAGGGCGTTGAATCTTCTAGACCCATTTTTTTCAACTGGAGATATCAGGGCCCTTGTGTATGCCGGACACACACAGCGCCACTAAGCCCTGCCCCCCTCCCCTTCACTATTCAAATTATTTTCTGATTGAAAACCAAAGAGTGCAATAAAAACTAGATATTGAAAACTATCTGAAGCAAAGGTTTTAGAACATACAGTGAACGAAGCTTCGAACGTGTACTTTTAGCAGATTGTTTCAGATCTGCCTGCCAAAAGCGTATGTTTTGCTAACCCCAGGAAACAAAACATGCACCAAAATAACAAAACACAAATTGATATATTCCTAAAGTAACTAGTTTTGCCTTTGTATTTAACTTAAGCTACAAAACATGGGGCAACTTGCCGCCAAGATATCTTAACAATGAAGACCTCCTTGTGGAAGGGAAAAAAACAAACATATGAAGAGCTTCTGAGGTTCATTTAAATTTCTTTAGGACTAGGCAAAGCTTGGAAAAGTTTTTTTTTTACTCTAATGCTCATAACCCTCAGCCAGCATGGACAGCTCAGGATCTTGGGAATTGTTAAAAAAAATTCCAGAAGTAGGGTATGTGGGTATTAAAGTCTCTAAAGGGTTATGCTCACACAATGCACTGTATATAATGAAACCCACTGATTTACACAATGGGTTTCAGGTTATTTAAATGGTAGTAGTCACTAATGGAATCTATACATCTAACTGCAAGCTTTGCTCTTTGTGTGGCATTTACAATTGTGCCATTGGGCTGTGGTTTCTGATGGACATGGAACAGTTTACGCTAGTAAGTCACCTTATCCTTGCACTCATCTCTTGCCATATGTTGTTTTCACCATTTGAGTGTGAAAACAACAGCTGGCCCTACCATGAGGCATCATAAGGCACTTGCCTCAAGTGACGTATTGGGGATCAGCAGCATGATGTTAGAGGTGTTGCCCATCAGCCTCTAAGCTAGCATTTTGATCTCTGGTGCCACGGAACCTGCTGAAACATCTCTAGATAAGGTTTGGTGGCCTGTCTAGTAAACCCCCAGACTCCATCGTATCCTTTGTGTCTGTCAGCATTACCTTGTTCACACTAGAAGCAACATCTGCACTGCTCTCTCTGCTCATCATGTCAAGATACCTGCAACATTTGCACTGCTCTCTCTACTCTCTCTGCTCATCATGTCAAGATACCTGATCTCTCAACGTGAAGGGGAAAAAAATAAAGCTTTGACAGACTCAACTTCCATCTTGGACAATAACAAACCAAAACCTGTGGCAAGCTGCACAGTCCCGGGATGCCCTCAGAAGAAAGGAACGGTAAACCACTTCTAAGAATTCTCTATGCCTAGAATGCCCTGGAAAGGGTAAGTCAGAATCTACCTGGTGATGTGTAATTATGAATTATTAAGCAATCCATCGGATGCTCCTGAGTCTTAAAAATCCGCATAACAAGGCAGCAGTTATGTAGTTCTTCATCTTTCCTGTAACAGATGCTCCATTTGTGTAACAACTATTGATTTGACATCAGTAGAAAATATCTTCCCAGTGGCAGGGTGAGGATTATTTTATTTTGAAATTCTTTATAAAAGAACAGAAGCAAAGACTGACTTCTCTAAGCCATGTTCATCCCCCTTTGACCTGGTATTCTATGTAGGGGCACATATCCTTCTTGAACGGAAAAGGGATGTTATTTTGCTTTTGCCTTCTAGCGGCAAAATCTCAGAGGAAGGAGGATGTTCTGGTCAAGGACGCTGAATGGTAGGAGAAGGTGAACTTTGATGGAGCAGGAATTATTGCAACCATTTTGTTATATTCTCGATGAAGGCCCTCCCACCGTAAGCAATGCAGCAAATCTGCTCTTTGTTGTCTCTGATGGTACCAAATCCATAGATCCAAACTGCAAAGGAGGAGGTTGTGTGGCACAATAGATGGAAGACCTTTTCTGACTGTATGAGTAGTTAAACCCAGAACATGTAGTTTCAGAAGATGAAGGCGACCTCACTGTAGGTTTCTAAACAGAGGCCAGATGGCCACCCATCAGGGATGCTATAAGAACAAATTTCCTACATCCACAAGCATTAGGCTATAGAAATACTGAAACCTTTTCCATCTCTATCATTTTATGTCCAAACCAATGCTTTTATTTTATCTTCCCTTTCTTCTGAAGAATCTGGGGCGACACGTGCTTCTCTCCCTTTTGACCCTACAGCGACTGCTATTTCAGACTGTGAACAATAGTGACTCAGTTAATAGAATCAAGGAGTTTTTCCCAGCCCAAGTCCATAATGCTTTGCCTGCTCGTCAATTCATTTGCTTATTACATTTAGGTAATGTTTTCTTTCCCCTATGATGGAATTCAAGGTAGCACAGAGAAGGTTTTCAGCAGGATGTTTACCATCAAGGCATGGAAAAAACCTGCAAAAGTACAGGGCTGCATACTTTTAGAATATATCAAAAGGTACAGGGTATCATACTAAATATCTTCCCTTTCCACTGTGCAATGATGATGATGATGATGATGATGATGTATACAAACAGTGATGTCTATGTTGGCTTGGGCACGTCGTGAGAATGGCTGACGGTCAGATTCCAAAAGATCTCCTGTATGGAGAATTAGTGCAGGGAAATCACCCCAGAGGGAGACCACAGCTGCGATACAAGGACACCTGCAAGCAGGATCTGAAGGCCTTAAGAATGGACCTCAACAGATGGGAAACCCTGACATCTGAGCATTCAGCCTGTAGGCAGGTGGTGCATCATGGCCTCTCCCAATTTGAAGAGACCCTTGTCCAGCAGGCCGAGGCAAAGAGGCAGTCCCGAAACCAGCCAAATCAGGGAGCTGGACAGGGGACAGATTGGATTTGTTTTCAGTGTGGAAGGGATTGCCACTCTCGGATTGGCCTTCTCAGCCAATGATGCTGTTCCAAGTCCTCCATACAGGGC